AAGGAGGCGGGGACGAGCTGAGCTGGTTTTGGGATGAGGTCGGGGATGGAGAGATTTTAAAGCTTGTGAAGTCCACATTGAGACCGTTGGGCTGCAGGATTCCCAAGCGGAATATGAGGTGCTGTTTCTCCAGTCTTTGGGTGGCGTCGTTCTGGCACTGGAGGAGGCCCAGGATGGACATGTCGTCCAAGGAGTGGGAGGGGGAGTTGAGTGGTTCGCCACTGGGAGGTGTTGTCATTCGTCACGAACCGAGCGCAGGCACTCCACAAAGAGGTCTCCAAGCCTCCACTTGGTTTCCCCGATATAGAGGAGGCCACGTCGGGTACAGCAGATACAATATACCACATTAGCAGACCTCATCACCTCAGGTGATCTCCCACCCACAGCCACTATGCCATCCATAGACATCTCTGTAGGAGTTCCTCAGGGTAGTATCCTCGGCCCAACCATCTTCAACTGCTTCATCAATGACTTTCCCTCCACCAGAACATAGAACATAGAACAGTACAGCACAGTACAGCCCTTTCGGCCCACGATGTTGTGCCGAAATTTTACCTTAATCCTAAGGTCTGTCTAACCTCCACCGCTACCTTATACTATCATCCATATGCCTATCTAATAGCTGTTTAAATGCCCCTAATGAGGCCGACTCCACTACCCTCTCCGGCAATGCATTCCATGCCCCGACCACTCTCTGAGTAAAGAACCTACCTCTGACGTTTCCCCTATATCTACCTCCACTCACTTTAAAACTATGCCCCCTCATAATAGCTACCTCCACCCTAGGAAAAAGTCTCTGGCTGTCTACTGTATCTATACCTCTGATCACTTTGTACACCTCTATCAAGTCACCACTCATCCTTCGTCGTTCCAAAAAGAAAAGCCCTAGCTGTCTCAACCTTTCCTTGTAAGACCTTCTCTCCATTCCAGGCAACATCCTGGTAAAACTCCTCTGCACCTTTTCCAACGCTTCCACATCTTCCCTGTAATGAGGCGACCAGAACTGGACACAATATTCCAGATGTGGCCGAACCAGTCTTTTGTATAGGTGGAGCATAACTTCACGGCTCTTGAACTCAATCCTCTATTCAATTCCCCTCAGAAGGTCAGACCTGCAGATATTCACCAATGATTGCATAACATTCAGCACCATTCATAACACCTCAGATATTGAAGCAGTCCATGTTTAAATGCAACAAGATTTGCACAACATCCAGGCTTGGGCTGACAAGTGGCAAGTAACATTCACGCAACACAGATGCCAGGGAATGACTGTCACCAATAAGAGGCAATCTAATCACCACTCCTTGCCATTCAGTGGTGTTACTATCACTGAATCCCCCACTATCAACATTCTTGGTGTTACCATTGGTTAGGAACTCAAATGGACTCTTCATATAAACATAGTGGCTACAAGAGCAGTTCAGAGGCTTGGTATACTCTGGTGAGTAACTAACCTCCTGACTCACCACTTGCCTGGATGGGTGCAGCTCGAACAAGGCTCAAGAAGCCAGACACCATTCAGAGCGAAGCAACCCACTTGATTGGCACCACATCCACTCCCGCCACCACCAACACTCAGTAGCAGCAGTGTGTATTATTTACAAGATGCACTGCAGAAATTCACCAAAGATCCTTAGACAGCATCTTCCAAACCCACGACTACTTCCATCTAGAAGGATAAGGGCAGCAGGTACATAGAAACACCACCACCTGCAAGTTCCCCTTCAAGCCACTCACTATCCTGACTTGGAAATGTTTTGCCTTTCCTTCACTATCACTGGAATTCCCTCCTCCAGGGCATTGTGGGTCAACCTACAGCATGTGAACTGCAGCAGTTCAAGAAGGCAGCTCACCTACACCTTATCCAGGGCAACTAGGGTCAGGCAATAAATGCTGGAAAGCCAGCAATGCCCATGTCTCATGAGTAAATAAAAAACAAACTCTTATTGTTCTTTGGTACAATATGACGTTCACATATTCTGTCCCTTTTTATTTTCCAGTAACAATCAACACCATCACCAACTAGCAATCCTTCCATCTGTTTTGCCTTTAATTTTGTAGTTTTCCATGCAAATGAAACCACCACCCCACGTCTCGTGAATTTGAAGCCGTTTCTCCCACACATATCTTTGAACCACATATTTACCTCTCTCACCTTGTTGACCCTGTTGCCTATTAGCTCACAGCTCAGGTAGTAATCTGGAGGTAATTACATTTTTGGTTCTGCTTTTTAATCGAGTTGCTCATATTCCCTCAGGCAAACCTCTGTCTTCCAATATTATTGGTATCTACATGGATCATGACAACTGGATCTTTTCCCTTACACTCCAAATTCCTGTGCAGCCCAGATGAGATATCCTGAACCCGGGCACTGGGCAAGCAACACAGCCTTCGGGACTCGTGATCTTGGCCATAGAGGACAGTGTTGACTCTCTCATGACTATATTATCCCCAATTACAACTACATTTCTTTTTTCTCCTCCCTCTTGAATAGCTCCCTGTATCATGCTGCTGCAGTCAGTTTGCTCATCCTCCCTTCAATCTCTGCATTTGTCTATGCAGGGAGCAAAAATCTCAAACTTAGTAGACAAATTCAAGGGCTCACGCTCCTTCACTACTTCCTGGATCCACATCCCTGCCCTGCTCATAGCCACATCCTCCTGTCCCCGGCCACTGACCAAATTCGAGGTGGTTAATCTGAGGGGTGTGACTGCGTCCTGAAATACAGATTCAAGTGATATGTTGCAGTGTTCAAAGCTTAGACTCCAGCTCATCAACTCTGAGCTGAGTTTCTGAAGCAACCAACACTTGCTACAGATATTAATTCTCAATTGATTTTTAAAAATCTCCAACTGGTCTTTTAGTTTGTAATCTATAAATATTTCTCTGAATTACCTTAAATCTGGAAGTAACCTATAACTGTTATAGTTATTATGAACCAATGAGCTTACACTTTTTCTATGATGTGACTCTGTTTTGTGTTGAGATGTTGATTCTGGGCTTTAGTTTATCTTGGAGTGTGTCTCATTCTGGATGTGATCTTATCCTGATCATGCAAAGATCAGCCTCGGGCTGTCTCTCTCTTATTTTCGCTTTCTCTTTCACTCTATTTTAGTCAGCCTCCTGCTGTCTCACTCAGTGTCTCACTCTCACAGTAGCACTCACCCAGCCATTCTTTCTGTTCTCACTTAGTCTCTCTCTCTTCTATGCATAAAGACACTAACTCAGACATGTTCTTTCTCTTTGATGTACATGTGCACATTCGCCTTCTCGTATTCATACACGCTGACTGTCTCATGGTCTGTGTCAAACTCTGACTCCCCACACCTTCAATTTCTGGAGGAATGGTGGGACCAATCCTGTGGGCCCCATCACGATTTTCCGTAGACAAGGGAGTTGAGGGTTGTGGGTTGCTGACAGGAAGATGTAGATGGGACCACAATCAGATCAGTCATGACTATTTAATATTGAAATAGGTTTGAGGGGGTAATTGTACTTCTTTTACTCCCTCAGTCCTGTGTTCCTCTTTTTTTTTAATCTGGTCTGTAAATTAAACATTTCTTTTTTCCTTGACACCATTAAACTGTTTTCTGAACTGAATATGAAACTGATTTCCTTTTGACTTGTTCACTGTCCTGTAGATGGGAGCAAGGTGAAAGGAAAAAAATGCATTTTCATGCTGACGGTTATTGTCCGCCTCCATAAATGTTTTCCTGGTGGTCAAAGAGGGAAGTTGGAGATTTTCCAATTAGCATGTTTGCATTACTTTCTATTTGTGAGAGGTGTAAGTCTATACTTTCTAATCTGAATCTGGGAAGAGAGAGCCTGAAATTTATCCACACCGTCTGAGGCCAGTCAGTATGCTCTGGGACCTCCAGGCAGATCTAAAGTGAAGAAAACTCCAACAGAACAGTTTTCAATGAGCCCAGGTCCCAACACAAGTTAAATTAGAGGGAATCTGATGTGCCGTATTTGGCCAATGCTTGCTATTTTTCGCAAGTTGCCTGTCATTTGGGATGTTCTGTGCCAGATTGGCTGCTTTGGGTTCTGGCCTTCCAGATTAACAAGTTACTTAGCTAGTGAACCTGCTCCTCCACAGGCACAGGCCCCAGTGATTAGAACTATCGTCAACCTCACTTTCTGGGCCCAGATCATCATCAGTGTTAGAAGTGTGACTCACCCGAACTGTTATTGTACAATATATAGTTTAAAAAAAATCTTATTTATGCATATTTCCAATGTCACCTTTTCCTTTATAAGTACCCATATTCATATTCACATTGATTGCACTGTGAACTTTGAGTTAAAATTTTAACCCTCCTTCCAATGATACTGCTCTAGTACTTCAATGTAGGATGTTCTTTACTCCATGGCCAGTCCTGTTTAGTGATTTGTTTCTCAATAATAGTTACAGATTTTCAGCATGGATCCCTGTTGACTTATCAGGATGTGTTCTGTTGTTATAATATTTTTGGTCCTCATTCTGCATTAGATAGAGAGAAAATATCTTGTGCTTGTCAACTGTTTGTTTTTAAAAAATGGATTTGTCATTATGCTATGGATAATATGCTGAAATACTCTTGACCTTAATACATTTTCTTTTTATCCCTTTATCTGTAGGAACTTATAAGTAGCTTGGTGACTTGGGTTCAACTATCTGAACAAAATTTACTGACCATCTGTTTTTATTTTTTGATGTTATCTTAGCCATTTAATGCCAGTTACTCATTGAAATTGGAGAGGAAAATGTAAACAGCTGCAGGCATTTGATAGGCAAGATAATTTAGTATAGTTGAAAATGGAAATCTGACATGTTTTGAACAGTTGTAAACTAAAAAAGCAAATTGCAACTATTCATCTGTTTGGCTATTACAAACATTTAACCCTAGCAATTAAAGATAATTTAATATATCTAACTTGCAGTCTTTTTCTCTGCCACATGTCTTTTGATTTGAAATGAAGAAATAATCTTTGTAATATTTGTATTTTTTTTCTAGGTCTGTCAAGATTTATACTCCAGGACGGAGGGACCCAGGAACACCAATGACTCCACGACACACCCCAGCACGCTTTGGACTTTGATTGTTATCTAATTTTGTTTTTTATGTTTTTTTAATTTTGTACAAAATATGTTTAAATATTCGTGGCTTCAAATCTATATTTGTATATTACCACATTTTTCTAGTGCCTCAGAATAACAGTATTTGTGTTTATAATGTAGCACTTGAGCTTTTCATTGCACCATAGTCAAGTGCTAGTGATTGAAAAATTCAAGTTTGTCATCACAATGGATGGTACACGGGTTCATGTGACAATAGTTTTGTTGCTGCCATCATTGGCTTTGCCGTAGATCTACGTGCCCTCAACACTGGGTCAGCTAATTGTGTGCGTATACAAGATGTATGGAAAACCTGTCCATTCCAGTGGATCTCTTGTCATTTTTACTTTTTATGCAAGAATTGTTTCACTGTTCAAATGTTACCCATTCTCATACTTAGATTTTCTGTTTTTTGTTAAGTTCTGGACATCTGTTTCTCATGATTTTACAATGCTATGCAACTCTACTCCTCAAAAAATTATTTAAACTGTCATCTCTAAGGACTGTGCAAAATAATTTTAACTTGGCTGTAATTTTGATCCATTGGAGAGTTAATTCAACACACATTATGAAAGAGAACAATACAAAGGGAAATGAGCAATCCCCTATTTCTTGACTTTTCAGTGAAGCATCTCACCTTATGGGGCGTTATCTGACCCGGCTGACGTATCAGTGCCAATCAGTGATATTCTCCAGGGACCGTTGGAGTTATCATATTGTATAAGTAGCAAGATTGATGGAATATGCTATCCCTTCCTGTTTGAATGACAAGTTTTGTTAACTACTCTAAATGTCCTTGCATTGTATTTCCTCTTTCTTTTCTGTCCTTGAATTTGTCCAGCCAGCCAGGCTTTTGAGCGTTAGTATTTGGTGAGAAATCCTTATGAGTGTAACTCTATCAGGGAGAAACTACTTTTTGCTCTCTTGGTAAAACACAACTGGTTTTCTCTTCATGACTTTGAGGTAACAGCAATTTTTGCCTATTTGTAAATTCTGTACAATTTAGGGGTAACTTCTGTGGGAGAGGTTTGTGATGCAATCTATGTATCTTCAGACCATAAGAAAAGGAACATAAGTAGGCTTGACTTGCAGTTCAGAACTGCAGGTCCTTTCGTTTTTCTAATGCATGGCTTTATTTGAATCCATTTGAATATTCATGAGGCTGTAAGCAGGAAAACAAGTTTCTTGATTTTTTTGTAACAGTACTGTGCCTTCAACAAGTGCAAGTATGTGTTTAATTTCTTCAGATTTCAATCTGGGATCAATACATTATTGTATTTCAATTTATTTTACACTTCTTTTCAATCTTGAAAGGAGTTCCAGCCTCCTCCAATATGCTCATTTCTCTGAACTTACTGTTCATTAACTAAGACCCTAAAATGCCACTGTTTATCTTGAACAGAAAATTGGGTTTACTTCACCTCTCCAGTAATTTCTGGCTGAGGTCCCTTCATACTTTACAATTGTTTCACCCGGCTTGATTTTTTAACACGTGAGCTGTTCTGTACTTTTGGCTATTTCATGAAAATATGCTATCCTTTGTGACAGGTGTTTCAAATCAATTAAAGAAAGGGGTATCTGTGATTTGTTTCAAATTTGTTCCACAAACTCCTATTCTCAGAGAAAGCAAGAACTGCAGATGCTGGAGTCAGAGTCTTGCTATCTTCAAGTGCTTTATAACCTGACAGCAAAGCCTGTTCCAAGGATGCCCATCTTGAAGAAGTTATCCTCCTCCCTCTGGAAAGCCTCAGTGGATCTCTCTGCCACTGCAACACACTGGTGATCTCCTCCGCCCTGAAGACTTTCGACCACATACAGCCACATCTCCTTTCTCAGTACCTGCCTGGGCAACCGGCTTATCCCCACTGGACTCCAAACAACGTTAAGACCATCCCAATTTGAACCAAGCCACGACAGCCGTTATCTACAGTACCTCCAGAGCCTCCAAAAACGATTTTCTGTGTGGATCCTAAGGTCCACGCTCTGACATGCGCTGACATCTTCTCGCACTACAGTCAGCCCTAACCCAGCTCAGAGCCTCTCTTTCCCAGACCTGCAAAGGACCTCTGCTGTTTTTCATTCTGCACAGGATCCACAACCTCAACCAAAGCTTTCTGTCCACCCAATTGGATGTCAAGGATCGTAAGTACACCAAACTTGCTCGTGCTTACCTCCAAACACAGGCCTCTACCTCCCCAGACCCCAACCCTATCCAGGACCTCACTTAATTTGCCCGGTGCCATTAACCATACGGTTGCTGTCGCCTCGGCCTCTCCCGCTGATGCCGTTGACTACGTCACTTCCACCAGCGCCGGTCACGTCACTGCTGCTGCCGACACTGACTACACCAGTGCTGCCAATGCTGACTATGCCAACAAGGTCTGCCTACGTTAGTTCCCATACACACACCCACTCCCAGCTCTACACCTAGCCCCAGCCCCAAGCCCTGCTGGGTATTCACCATTCATCACGCCCCCCCCCCGACCCCCCCGCTCCCCCTCACTGAGGATGAACGGTCGGTCCTCCACCTCTGTGCCTATTTCTGAGACCAGGAGTCTAACCCACCCTCTGCTAACCCATTCTTCTGCCTCCAATAAACCTCATCCTCCTAGACACCACCCCATGGCCTCCTACCCTCCCTCGACCTTTTCATCCCCAACTGCTGTCGCAACATCAATTGCTGCAATCTCTCACCCCTCCCACTCACTCCAACCTCCCCCCATCGGAACGTGCAGCCCTCCGCTCCAACCACAACTTCACCTTCAAACCCGCAGATAAGGGGGTGCACTTTATGGTATGGTGCACTGACCTTTACATAGCCAAGGCCAGGCTCTGACACCTCCTCCTACTGCCCCCTCAATTACAATCCCACCCCTGATCACCAGACCAGCATCTCTCAGACCGCCCATAACCTTATCACCTCAGGAGACCTCCCATCCACAGTCTCCAACCTCATCGTTCCGAACCCTGCACCGCCCGGTTTGCCTCCTTCCCAAAATCCACAAACCCTACTGCCCCGGTCGACCCATTGTCTCTGCCTGCTCCTGCCCCACTGAACCCATCTCCGCTTACCTTCACTGTGTCTTTTCCCCCCGGTCCAGGAACTCCCCACCTATGTTGGGGACTCTACCCACGCCCTTCAAGACTTGCAATTCCCCAGCCCCCAAAAACCTCATCTTCACCATGGACATCCAGGGCCTGCATGCTTGTACGCCATGCAGATAACCCAAAACCTCTACTACTTCATCTCCCGCAGGCCCAAAGAGTCCCCTCCACTGACACCCTCATCCGCTTAACGGAACTTGTCCTTACCCTCAACAACTTTCCCTTTAACTCCTCCCACTTCCTACAAACTGAAGGGGTGGCTTTGGGCATCCGTATGGGTCCGAGCTATGCTTGCCTCTTTGTAGGGTACATGGAACAGTCCCTCTTGCACTGTTACACTGGTACCATCACTCACCTCTTCCTCCGCTACATTGATGACTATCAGCATTGCTTCATGCTCCCATGAGGCGCTTAAACAGTTCATCACCTTTACCAACAACTTTCACCCCAACCTTAAATTCACCTGGACCATCTCTGATACCTCCTTCCCCTTCCTGGACCTCTCTGTCTCCATATCTGGTAACCATCTCAGCACTGACATCTATTTCAAACCCAGCAACTCCCACACCTACCTTGACTACACCACCTCTGACCCACCCTCCTGCAAGAATGCAATCCCTTCCTCCCAATTCCTCCGCCTCCACCGCCTCTGCTCCCAAGATGGAATGTTTCATTCCAGGACATTCCTGATGTCCTACTTCAACAATCACAACATCCCCCCTCCGTTGATCAAAAATGTCCTCAACTGCATCTCTTGCATTTCCTGCACTTCTGCCCTCAGATCTCCCACCCCCCCACCCCCCAACAAAAATAAGGACAGAGTCCCTCTGGTCATCACATACTACCCCACCAACTTCCGCATCCAGCACATCATCCTCTGCCACTTCCACCACCTACAGTCCAACCCCACGACCAAAGAGATATTTCCCTCCCCACCCCTATCTGGCTTTCATAGGGACAGCTCATTCTGCGACACCCTTGTCTGCTCCACACTCCCCACAAACCCACCACCCCCAGCACCTTTCCCTGCAATCGCAGGAAGTGCTACACCTGCCCTTACGCTTCAGCTCTCACCCCCATCCGAAGCCCAATACAATCATTCCATATCTGACAGGGGTTCACCTGTACATCCTCCAACCTGGTCTACTGTACCTGTTGCTCCCGATGTGGCCTCCTCTACATCGGTGAGACCAAACGTAGACTCGATGACTGATGTGTGGAGCAACTGTGCTCTGTACAGTATAATCAACAACACCTTCCAGTTGCTAACTATTTGAACTCCCCCTCCCATTCCCTGGGTGACATGTCCCTCCTGGGCCTCCTCCAGTGCTACAATGATGCTACATGCAAACTGGAGGAGCAACACCTCATATTCTGCCTTGGGAATCTACAGCCTGGTAGCCTGAACATAGAATTCACCAGTTTCAAAATCTCCCCACCCCTGGCCTCATCCCATGTCCAATCTTCCCTCTCATCTGCCCTCTCCTTGACCTGACACTACCTGTCTCTCTTCTTCCCACCTATCCTTCCCACTGACCAATCCCCCAGCCCCTACTTGCATCCACCTATCCCTATCCTATCCTCCTTACCCCAGCTCCACCCCCTCCTCCCTCTATTTGTTTCCCAGCTCCCTTACCCCTCCCCAGTCCTGATGAAGGGCCCAGGCCCGAAACGTCGACTCTCCTGCTCCTCTGATGCTGCCTGACCTACTGTGTTCCTCCAGCTCCACACTGTGTTGACTCCTACTAATCTCATTTCTTGAATCCCAATTTTAGTTAGTTTCTACTTGCGTGCATACAGATATTTTCCTGCAATTGGCTGTAAGTTATGAACTTCGCAGGGTTCAAGAATTGGTAACAGTTATTCCCTCATTGACGTAGACCAACTAAAACTTGAGTTTTAACCACCAATTTGAAGTCTACTCGGCACGCAAATACTCCAAAATGAAATAATTGTGGAAGAAATACCAATATTAGAAAGTGGTGAAAGAGAAGAAGCCCTGTGTAATGTGGGAATAAGAATGGGCAGAGCAGATGGAAGCAGCACTTGCCAAGCAGCAGTTGGCCCATGGACAAATAGAATTAGATAGATATCATCACTTTCAGAAATGGAGAGCCCTAATTGCAGCAATGAGAGGGAAGATGGGAATCAGAGAGGCAGCCACTTTTTGAATGGGATTTTCAATTCTTGCATCGGATTACCTGGATTTTAATATGGGTGTCTGCAAAAAATTGTTCTTCAATAAATGTAAGTGTCCTGTTGTAATATAAACCCGAGATCTTGTATTCAAAACTGAGATTATGGAAATGTGGGAGAATATTTGTTCAATAAATGTGGAGTTGTTTTATTCTAGACAAAGTTATTGTGTTGTAGTGTTAATTTGTCATCCTTCAAAAGATTTTAATTAAGTGATTAACTTGTGTGATACAGAAACGTATGTATTCCATTGAAACTGCTCTGCCATTTAATTAAATCGTGGCTGATGACCTGCTTCACCGCCATTTGCCTGCACTGTCTCCATATCCCTTAATACCATAAGTCCCGAGGAATTTATTTATTCCTGTCTTGAACATGCTCAATGTTGAGATTCCCCAGCTGTCTACAGTAGGTGATTCCAAGTATTCGCCACCATCTGAAGAAGTTCCCCCTCACCTTAAATGACAGCTTCATAATCTGAGACTATGCCCTCTGGCCCTACACTGACTAGCCTGGGGAAACATCCTATTTTCATCTATCTACGCTGTCACAACTTTTAAGAATCTTAAGTTTCAATGAGATAATTTTCATTATTTTAAACTCTAGCGAATTCAAGCCCGGAGTCTTTAATGTCTTCTCATAAGAAAGTCCTGTCATTTTGGAGATTAATCTGGGGAACTTCTATTATGCATGCTATATGGGTGGTATATTCTTACTTCAATAAAGGACAACAAAACTAGAGATAATATTCACCAGGCTCAATGCAATTGCAGAAGATCATCATCTGTAATGTTATGGTACAGGAATTGCAAGCCAAACCAAGTCAGCCTTACTATCACTGGGTTTGCAACACTGAAATTAAAATATTCAATGACCCTCTATCACCCAATGTTCCTAACCAAGCTTTATGAGTAACAGATCTTAGATGCCAAGTTTATAATTCATTACTATTATTATTACTAATAATTCATTACTAATACTGTAACTAGCAGGACAATGCTAAATAACAAGGTAATCTAATTAATATCTATGATTTAAGCCCAATCTTCTGTGAGCATAAGCACCTCCCCCCCCAACTTTCCCACAGTTAAGGGATAAATTAAAAGAAAATGAAAATTGTAATTTGCAGTTCAATTAAACAGTTTCAAATAAAGGATGCCAAGTCTTCATGCAATATTTAGATAATGAGTTGTTCACATGGATGACTGTATATCTAATTTCAAAATAACTGGTGAATGCGAACAGTTAAATAGACTTACAGAAGTATTTAGATACTTCCTATA